CGGGGGGTGAGGGGGGGTTCTGCCGGCCCGGGCCTTCCCTGCGGCCCGGCCCCTCTCCCTCAGGGCACGGCACACCTCGCGTCCCCCGTCGCTCGCCTCTTCGCCTCCCGGGGTGGTCTGGGGGTCGCTGGAGGCTTTGGCGAGGGCCCCCCCTTGCCGCCCTGAGCGCTCTGGGACCCCCCCGCCCTGCCGCCACCTCCGTCGCCGGCGGGCCGCGGTGCCGGCAGTCACCTGTGGCCGGGCCCTGCGGCTGGTGGGAGCCGGCTGCGTGTTGCTGTTGGGCTCCGGCTTCTCCTGACTCACGCCCTGATGCGCTGAATCGATCTGGAAGCGGGACGTTGCCGAAGTGCATAGCCCAGCGTCATGGCTTAGCAGGGACACCTTTGAACTGTAATTTTTCACCTTCCCCGTAAAAAGAATTCCTCTCCCGCGAGACGAAAATACTCCGAGTGCTCTTGATTCGCTTTCAGACTTTTAAGCCGCTGCCGTATTCATTTCTGACTGGCTTAAATTTTGTTCTGAAGCATGTGACTTCTTCCAGTGTTCGCGGCTGAAAAGCTGAAACCTTCCATTTCAGAGCAAACGTTTTTAGTTGAGTTAAACCAGGGAATGATTTGAAGATGATAGATTGTTTCTCCTTGATGGTCTTTGTGCAGTCAGAAAGCGTAATTCCTACTTTGTGTGATGGGTGGTTTTTGGTTTGTTTGCTTCTGTGGTTTGGTTTTTTTTTTTTCAGATGTACGTGTAACTAAGAGCATAAGAAGGGCATTAGCTTTTTTTCTTTTCACAGAAACCCCATTTTTCTTGGTGCTATAGAAAGCATCATAGGCAAATTCGGTTTTAAAATTGTGTAGATGTTAGGTCTTTTGCAGTTGGCCTGTAGATTGACTTGTCATGGTAGGCACTAATCAAAACTATATATGTTTAAAAAGTACCTTGGCTCTACTGCATAATACCTGTTTTGGGACATTATTGTGCTCATTGCTTGCTAGTAGTCATATATTTGTTTATCATTAACCAGATGTGAAGGGCACATATCTCATGGTACAGGATTCGCACTGTGCAAAACCAGAACCTCTTCCATGCTACAGTTTTATTTTGAATGTTAATTTGTGGTTTAGGTGGTTAAAAAAGTTAGGCTGTGCAGTTATTAACAAAGCTGGTAAGCACAACAAGCCTTAACGCACAGAACTTTTGGGGCTGTATGTAGCTTCATGGTGTGGCAAACATCACGAGGTGAGATATAGAGGCGTTTTCAATAAAACGCAGAATTTTCCCTTTTTGCACTGTTTATCATTCTATGCTTGGTCAGAAGGAAACTTCCAAAGACGCACTTGCTGAAGAGACGGGCTTGTAGCATCACTGGGGTTGAGCAAACTCTAGTGTTAATGTATTCCTGATATGTAGAGTTACAGTGTTAACTAACAATAGTTAATTTAGAATGCAAGACTAATTTAATGAGAAGTAACTGTAAATCTTTGATATTGTGTGTGTTCTTTTAAAGGAGACAACATACTAATTTTTCTAAGAACTTGAATCAGGTAAAATAAGTTTTGTTTTATGGTCTGTTCCTTCTGACTTTGCTGAGTTACACAGCAGCTTTCATATGAAAGGCATTCCTGAATGTATTTGGGAAAAGAAACAAATAAATGGCCGTATTCTTTGGGAAGGTATGAGAGAGGAAATGCTTAATTGTGTGCAGAAAGATGCCCAAATATGTATGGGGAACATAAGCATGGTTAAAAGTCTGTGTAAGAGTTACACATTAGAAACATTTCAAAACTGTATCTTGAAGTTTTAGAAGAGAAAGTTCTCAGTTCCAACTACTTGTATCAGGAGGTTTGGCATCAAGATAAACTGTAAAAAGAACTAGTACTGTTTGTTTCCTTTCTCCAGAATGTTTTTAGTAGCAACTATTCTGGGATTTTGCTTCCTTTCTGAAGTTTTTTAAAAAGTAATGTCAATTGAAATATTCTGGCAGAGCTAACAATGTCTTCCTACCTGTTCCATTCCTGTCAGGGGCCAGCTATAGCACAAAAGTCAGATGTTGTTTGAAAGTTGAAGGAATGAACACACTGTTGTCTTCTCATGTCACGTCTCTATTTTCTACAACTGAAATGACTTATTAAACCTGGAAGCTTCTGAGCAAGAGAAAACTAAAGTAAGTAGACTTTTCAGGTAGACTGGGTTACACTTCTGTGTAAGAGGGGATGTGTGTTTTTCAACAAAATTTAAGTAATTGGTGTGCAGCCTCTTTGCTGGGTTGTTGCATATAATGAATGGAAAGGCTGTATGCCAGAGACTCTGTGTGATGTGACTGGACCCATTAATGCCTTAATATACATAGGCAGATGTGGAATACAGAAGTATCAAACTTCCTGTGCCCAGCAAACTACCTGCTTGTTACTTTAAAGAGAGCATACTCAAAAGTATGGTGCTGCCCCATGAATGATTTAGGCAGGATAGTCCCAATCTCCCCTTTCTTAGGGATTGAAGCAAAGAATGGTTTGTGGATGATTTCATCGTAGTCCTTAGTCTACTTCTTTTTAAACAGAGACAAACTCAGAATAGTACTTTCTCCGCGGTATGTGTATTCAGAGAAGCAATTCATGTAGTGGAAGAAGGAACTAAACACAGCAGATGAAAGAGGATGAGTCTGAGGCATTGGTTATACAAGTTCTCAAAGGAAAGTTGGAGGAAAGCCTGAGTAGGGGATGTCATTTTAACCATTACAGTGTCATTTTTTTATACCGTATATCATTATATAACAGATACAATTTCCATTTCTCTGGTGGAATCATCAGTTAAATCTTTAGCAATAGAAGTACAGTGGCCTAAGGGGATATCTTTCAAGAAGAATGAGCAGAGAGCAACTGAAGGCTTTCTTAATAGAAAACTTTGAAGCTGTATTTGCTATCCCATAGGCTTTCCTGTCAACCGCATCAGCTTTTGACAATGTGGGAGGTATACATTCCCTGCAGGGGGTGCGGAGTGGAGAAAATAGACTGGGTGGGTTTAGAAAGCCACAGATCAGCCTTCAGGCATAGGTTTCCTACAGATGTAATGCTGATTCTAGAGGTAATGTGACAAATGGTTCCTAAAAAAACCCACTCACTTCTGTCATGCCACCTAATCTAGCTAGATTTAACAGCTACTTGCTGTACAGGGCTACATGCATAGAGGGAAAACTACTACTTTCTTTGATCCGCTCACATGACTGAACTTCCGCTTTAGAACTCAGCTACCAGAGTAAATATTAAGAAAAAGTCAGGAAAGAAGATAATCATGACAAGAGAAAGATAATATGCATAGAACAAATGCAGGAGAAGCAATAAGCAAGTACAAGTGGACAGAAATAATTGTTAGCATAAATTACAAGGAATAGACGTCTGACAGTTGCTAGAAAACAAGCCTTAGCAAATAGTTATGTTTATTACCACTGAAGTAGGTGCTGCTTTTCCTTATTACTGTGATATAAAGCATGAGAAATCTCTTAACAGATCAGAGCACTTCAGCAGATGAGTTACTCAGTGTCCATGATGGCATGTATCCTACTGTATCATCTTTTTGTGAGAGAACTTGTAATTCTCTTAAAAGAAATCTTGCCAGGATAAAAGCCAGAGATATCACCCTAAGCTACATTTTCAATATAATTTGAAAGGAGGAAGCAATTGAGTTGATAATTAGAGAAAGTAATGTTACAAACTTTTATGTTAGCTCTTGTTGGAAGGTGTGATTTACTTTGAAAATAGGGTAGGAGTCAAATTCCCTGAGAAGTTAAGACAGTGAAAGAAAACCTTCATATGGAGACAGGAGAAATACCAATCAAGACAGAACTGAAGATTTTTTACTTCCTCCGGCTATTATTTATTCAACATGTGGCTACCATGTACAAGCTACAAGATTTTTTTTTTTTTTAAAGAAACATATACACAGAAGTGCATAGGATCTGGTGGCACTGAGAAAATGTTTGCCACGCTTTCTACCAAGCTGTTGCTACTTGCTGCCATTCATAGAACTTCATTGTCACGATATTATTTTTTGTTAGTGCAAGGTCTTCCTTCTAATATCTTCAAAACTACGTGGTATAGTGAGCCTGTAAAGTAGGAGCCAGCAGGCAACTGGCGTGCTTGTAATTTGTTTGCTGAATTAGCAGTCACTTGACTGTTGTGAACTTTTGTTCGTTTGCACTTGTTCATATTGAGTCCTTTGGGGACAATGACTTGTCCTTTCAAATACAGGGCACATTAGGGAACAAGAGAATGCTTTTTCTGGGAGAGGGAGTGTTTCTGATTCTTCACAAAAAAATTCAGCAGTCTGTGTTGAGTTGTACAGCTTGCCGTTCCCAGTCTAGTAAAGAATTGGCAACATGAGGGATTGTGGAGTGCATTTTTCTTAAAGACAGGAAGCCTGGTGGAGAATTGCGTTGACCAAACAGGGAGCTCCAGATCACAAGTTTTTTTGTAAGTGATACTTTTTTTGAGGGATACAGAAATTTTTTATAATGCATTACTGATGAATTTGATTAACTGACTCAAACTTCTGTGCAGAAGGGCAAATACTAGTGTGCATTCTGTATGCGCAGTATCCCATGGAGACTTGTACAGCTGGCATGCTTTTTGTGTTCTAGTTAGGGCTTGAATTGAGAAGGCTTTCAAAGAGACTTGAAAATTCGTATGGTTTCCCTGGAAAATGTAGGTTTAGTAAGTACATGCGAATGGGAACTAGCATTTAGACATTAAGGGACAAGACCCACTAGTGGCATAATCCAGTCTCAGATCAGTAGAATCATGAGGATTCGCTTGAGGGAAAGGTAAGGGCTGCAGACTCCATTACCAAGAGGTTACACTTGGAAGGGTTTTACACCCTGTTACTGTGATGGCAAAGAAGAAATAGGAGATTCTGTGACCTAGCAGTCCATGTTGACTCCAAAGATCCACTCTGGAATAAGTGCAGGTAGAAGCTTATGATTTGATACGCAAAGGTGGTTTGTTGGTGTGCATCATAGGTATGATTTGCCCTTAAAATGATGGTAAGAAATCATAAGTGCTCTCTTAAGTGGTTTAATAGAACCTCTTCCTTTTCCTGTTTTGATAATATTTACATCTCACAGATAAGTCAGTTTTCCTTTCTTTCTGTTTGCCATCAGTTGCATAATGAGTGACAGGTAATTGATAGTAGCCACAAGTAAATACATGTAACTGTGGTGTCTGAATTGGCATTGCTCTAGGCATGTTTTTGATGTCAGTACTACATGACTGTTTGAAGCTGGAATGCTCTGCCTTATGTTACTTACTTTTTTTGTAGCTTCGTTAAACTTTGGAGACTTCTGCTACCTTATTTTTGTTTCTGTTATTGAGTATAGTTCCTTTGTGCTGAAATATAACTAGTTAAATGAGTGTGAAAGAGATGTATTTATTTCTATGGACTTGATTAGTTGGCTGTAGGACTTTGGTCTCACTATGTTTCTTTTTGGTTGATTGGTGCTATTTGGTTAGGGACAGCTGAAGTCTAGAAAACTGCCTTCATTGCTGTAGATCTTTGTTGTGACTTGTTTTGTATTCCTGTATATCTTTATTTCTAATTCTAAAATTTTATTAACCTTTAATGAGATGAATGACTACTCTTGACTTCATTAGATTAAATGCTCATTTACTAGTGTTAAAGATGCTGATGCTTATTTTGGTGACTCTCTGATATGATAACTTAGATGCTGTTGTTGGCTTGACCCTTCAGGACTGTTACTTTTTCATATTTATTTTTTTTAAAGGATTTATGCTCCTTTCTGCTTGGTACTTGGAGTGAAATACTTTTTTCTTTTTTTTCTTCTCCCTTCATTGTTGTCTTAGCTTAATTTTGGTACTGTCTTAGAAATTCCTAGACTTCTGCTCTATTCTATATGTTATTTCTGAAAACCTGTGTATTAGGTGTTATCTCTTCTGTGCAGTCGTGGTGCTGACAGATGTGGTTTTGTTTTTAGGACTTTGTATTTTATGCTTTTAATTTTATTATGGGAAGCACAAGGCATTATATTCATACTGGCTCTGTAGGTTGTTAGTGTACCAAATAAAACTCTACAGTCTTTTTGTAATATCAGCATACCTTATCATTATAAACCTGCTTTTTCATTTTTTCCATCCTCTGTTTAAATGAGGGTGCAAGCAGCTTTTTCTATATACCTGCACTAACTTACATTTACCTCTCAAACACAGTGAAAAATTGTTTACTAATACAGTACTATTTTTCTTCTCTTTGAAATAATTCCTTGTTTGGTATCAGGTCTAACTATGAAAATAACTTCATTTTTATCTAGACTGGCAGATGCCTTGCAGATCTTGAATGATTAACCCTGCACACTGATTGCTTTCAAGTGTCATATAATTGTTCAATTGTAACTGTAACTCTTTTTAGAAGTGCTCTAATTGTTTTCTGAATTACTATGATAGCAAATGAAGGGGCTTAGTAAATTTTGTAACTATATTTTTAGGAGAGGCCTTGGAGATGCACAGACTTTTTTCATTCTTGAACAAATCATTATCTGGAGCAGGATTATGCGAACTTTGGTGTTATCCTGTGTCATGGTTATTGATGTGTGACAGAAATCGGAATGCTTCTAGAAGATACTCAGTCAAACTTTTTGTTGTTCATTTTTACTGTATTGACAAATCTGATTCTGGTAAAAGCAAATAATTCTTACGCTTATCCTGTTACCCTTATTTTTTTATATATATATATGTGTGTGTGTGTGTGTATATATAATACACACACACAAAAAAACCCCAACCCCAAACCAAATTGTTTCAACTATAGTAATGTGTGTCACTAATGCTTCTTCACATCATGTTTACCTCTTACTCAGTATATTCTGTAAATATCTTGTGTGTATGGTAATTTAGCAGTTTAATTTCCTCCACTTTTCCAGATTAACATATTGAACATTACAGACTATACAAAGTTAAAAGCTTAATGTAAAATGAAAATGTGTCAAAATTGTTGTTGCTCCAAATGATTAATATAGGTACAAACTTGACCCGCCCCCCCCTTTTTTTTTCCTCCAAAGTTTTAATGCAGTGATGGAGGGTCAAAAATATTAAATACCTGGAAAGTGGTGCTCACAATTTACTTGATGCAGTTTACTTTATCTCAGATGTTTGTGGTAGTAATCCTTTGGTAGATATAGATTATGTTGTGTTTGGGCACAAACTAGTTCTTTAAATGTATAAAGATTTTAGGTTGATGCAAGCGTGGCTCAGTTATACAATAGCTGCAAATTAATTGGTGTGATTCTGGTGTGAAAATGAAGCCTTAAAAGGACCAGCAAAATGTCAAATGAGCTTTTTGTTCCTGGATCATTAAACGGTGAGAACTACTTTCACCAGGCTGTTGTCAATCTAAACATGGCTTACAAGAGTCTTGGTGGTCTTTCCAAGCTGCAATGCACACATACCCTAACCTGTTGGCACTGAAGAAGCTTAAGGAAAGAGTAGCTGGTCTTTTCAGGTTTCTTAACCCTCAAAAGCCTATTTAAATGTTTTAAAGTTTATTTAGATTTTCTGTGTGGGCATATACTTGTGTCTGTTGGCATTTATTCATAAAGAGCAGACAGGATCCTTGAACTGACTTCTTAAAATCTGGCCTTCAGTGCCTACCCTTTCAAATGTTCTTGTACCTCCATCCCCATGAATCCTAGGAAACTCAAGTATAAATATAATCTTTAATGAAAATACAGATCCCAAGTAGTTTAATTGTTATTGTAAGATCATTGGAGCCTACATTTCTTGGTAGTGTTACTATATTAAGTTCTGGTAACTTTAACAAAGCTTTGTTTATTAGTTCAAGTTAAATCCAGTAAAATAGCTTTGTCTCCTTGCTGTTCTAGATTCAGGGAAGAATGTTCAGCTGTGTGTAACTGCAGAATATCACAAAGGTGTCTGATTTGTTTTCATATTGCAGAGTAATTGTACTTCTGTTCAGCTGCTGACAAGCGTGAGGTTTGTATGTTTTTCAATTTTTGTGCGAGTCTAGAAGTACATATGGGTGATACTGGGGAATAAAATGTGTTTGCAGTGGAAAACTACTTGCAAGATTTTTCCCTGTGTGGAAGGACTACTGCTGCTCTGTGATAATGAGAAAGTTGTAGCTATTTTAAGACTATGATGGAGTATGTTTTTGAATTGTTCATGGCAATATTACTTTGGGAGGTTGCCAGAAGCTGCTTCTACAGTTTGACGGAAAAAGAAATAATATTATAAAGGGAGATATTTTGTGTTCATTTTAAATGTTTTTGAAAACTTGTTTGCTGTTTTGATACAGAGGAGTCCACTTCTTTAAGGGTGTGTCCTTGTTTGATGGGTACTTTTAAATGAGAACTTAAGCTTGTCTGTTGCCTGAAGATCACAGAAGCATAGAGTAATTCAGGTTGAAAGGGACTTCAGGAGGTCTCTAGTTCAACCTCTTGCTCAAAGCAGGATCAGACCCAGTTGCTCAAAGCTTTGTTCAGTTGGGTCTTAAAAACCTCTGAGAATGGAGACTGCAACCTCCCTGGGCCCTGTTTTCACTGCCTGATTGCCTGTACGGTACAAAAGTAGGGTGGATTGGTTTTTTTTTTATTTCCTTAAATCAAGCTGGAATCTAGTTTGTTTTGGTTTCTGTTGTGTGTTGTCCTCTCATCACCCACCACTTTGAGTACCCTGTCTCTGTCTTCTCAGTAACCACCTCAAAGGTAGGGGTGGGCAGCTGAGAGTCCCGCTGAAGCTGTCTCTTCTTCAGGCTGAACAATTCCCAGCTTCCTCAGCCTCTCATTATAGGGCAGGCATTCCAGGTCCTGGTCTTCTTGGTGACCCTCTGCTGAACTCGCTGCAGTTTATCAATGCCTGTCTTGTACTGGGGTCCAAAAGTGGACATTGTTCTAAATGCTAATGGGTGTTCTATAATGTAAAGTTTAATTACTTGATCATGGTTTACTTACAGAAATTGGGGAAATGTTGGTGGTTATAAATGTGCTTATTAGTATTTGTGTTTTTGAAGTGTGATTGGATTTCAAAGCAGAATCCAGGTAGCATTAAAAGAATTCTTCCACTTATATACTGATGAAATAATGTGCATGGATTTTAGTGAAAATATTTGATGGATTTAAAAAAAAATCTGACAGATAACACCTTACCTTCAATACATACTTACTCAACTTAATTAGCTCTGAATAAGTCTAGTTTGCATCATTAAAATGTTGGAAATGAAACAGTAGTTGGTTTTAATTCTATAATGAAATATTCTATAGAAATTGAAGTCAGTGAGTGAATTAATTCTCAGTATGTTTAAAGAAATTGATCTCGTGGAGAGTTGGGGGAATTTTACACAAAGTAAACTTACATACACAGAAACACACGCACAAAGGTCTGCTGCAAGAGCTCCGCAGACATCTTGTTTGTTTTAAGTGGCCTAGTGGGGTGGCAGTGTGGAGGGAAGACAAGCTCTGTGCTGCTGTATTGTCAGGTTCTATAAAGAGAAATTTTTCTGAGAATCTGAAGGGATCTCTGCTAAGTCCTTTTAATTTACACTGAGGTTTGGAAAAGTTGTAGTCAGTGTTCTGGAGTCAGATGATTATTTCAGAATTGTAACTCACCTCATGTAATGCTACACTTCAGCCAAAGCTTAGTGAATGTGCAGTAAGGGAGGAAATCATATAGAAAGCAAAGAAAGAAACAGAAGGCTTTTAAAACACTTCTTACCCTTCCCTCTGTGAGCAGCAGAAGTATGCTACAATTGGAGGTAGTATTAAAAGGCATAAGGAATGTCCAAACGAGCTTTTGTTCTTAGGAGCTTAGGCAGTGGGTTGGCACAGAGGTGAGTGTCCAGGATACTGGGTGGGCTTGTGTGACCTCTGCTGAAGCTTGTCTTTCTGTGGCTTTGCTGGTGGAGTAGCTGCGGCTGTAAGATCAACAGCTAGCTTGGGTGTGCCTGTACCTGCTGCAGTCAAAATTTCCATTTTGCAGTGCAGATCTATTCAGGGTTGCCACATCTTTTAAAAGTCACTTTTCTAGGGCTTGTTTATGCTCACTTGTCTCTCAGGGTTGGTGCAGCCTTAATTTAAATTTATGTGAGCTCTAGTTAAAACCACTTTCTATGCTGACACAGAAAAACTGGGGCTGCTGTGCCTTTGTCTCAGCTGGTATTTCTCACTTAAAATATGAACAAAACCCACTTCATAAGGAAAACATTTTAAAAGAAGCTTCTGAGTAAATATACCTCTTACCTTCATAAATATCTGGTTATTAGGAAACTTAAGCTTCTATAAATTAAGCAGAGTCATCTGACTCAATATTGGATGTTCACAAGTTAACAAAGCAGTATAGAAAAAGTTAAATCTACCTTAAGTTTTATAGTATGTAAGATATTGCAAGGAAGGAAAAACTGAAGATATCTTCTCTTAATCTTCTAAATTTTATAGTCAAAACATTAGTCTCCAGTGTTGCAATAGTTTTTCTGTGGAAGGTAGTTTGAAAGAACAATGATTTAATGTTGATTGCTAATAGCTTTTCATGTAAATTGTTGGTGTTGCACTAGAATTAGTTCAGGACCCCTCTGTTTCAGTGTTTGGAGAAGGCCGAGACTGCTGGAGACCCAGAAAGGAAGAAATACCTCCACATGACAGGGTCACACAGGCTCTGTGATATTCAAAAGCATTTTTCTTCATTTTCCAACTTAATGTCGGGTTCTTCTTCTTCTTCTTCTTTTTTTTTTTTTTGTGGAGGGGTGTGATTTTTATACTGATAAGCTCTATCACTGAATATTACAGTTTTAAATACAATGTCAGGTTTCCTACGTTTTCTTTATGAGATGTGGAAGACTTGGGCACTGTAAGGAGGTAAGAAAGCTGTAGATCTTCAGGTTGTGGCTTTCCCCCTTCTTCCTGCACAAACACATTCCTGTATCCTTATAGTAACTTCAAAGCATTTTGGATCTTGCAGTTTAATCTGTCGCTATAGTGCTATTGCTTGTGTAGGACTGTTGCAGTGTCACTGTGAGCCCACTGTTATGCTCTGATTTGTCATGGTGCAGAGATCTGTGCAAATTTTTTTCTGTGTTGAGAGGGGAGAGAAAGTGCTTATTTAAGGCTACAATGTTTCATTTCTGGAACAGAAACAAAGATTGCTAGTCTGTAATCACACCCCCCACCCCCAACCAACCAACCAAAAACTCTTCAGGATTGATGTGTGTTGTCAAATCGGCTTGATGGAGGGCGTGTGACTAGTGAAAGGGAAGTATAATTTGGTACAAAGTTGCTGTTTGGAGAAACTTCAAGTATGAGCATTTTCGCAGTGTTTGTTCTAGAGATCCCTTGTGCAATGTCAGGAAATGATTAAGAAGATGCATCCTGTATCATGCGATTCTATATTTAATCAATACCGTTTGGAAAACAAAAAAAAAAATCCTTTTCCTTTAAACATATCAAGGCTATTCAGACCAGAAGGCTGGACACTCCCCCTTCTGGTGTGTTAACTGAAGTTTCAGTTTAGGAAATGGGGGATTGTTTTTAAATGTAGTACTGTGGAACTTCTGCTTTTTCCTTCTCTCTCTCTCTCTTTTTTTTTTTTTAAACTTGAAACACTGGAGCGTATTGACATGCTTATGATTTCAAGAGCTGTGCAATAATTTTATAGTTTCTCCCTGTTTTGCTAAATGAAAAGTCTTAATACAAATGCTCCAAGTAGGTTGCATTTCATAGTATGTGTATTCTGTGGCTTAAAACAAGCACTCTAATGTCTGTTGACTGAACTAATAATAGTATTCAAACAACTGAATTCCAAAATACAGCTTGAGTCAGAATATTCATTATAATAAGAACCAATCCCAGAGCTAGTAATTAATTTCTTGTTAGATTTGGATGCTTTTAAATAGTGACCTTCAAGTGCAAGGCATTGTGTAATTTTTTAAATTAATTGAAACTTGCAAAACATTCTTGGAAGCTCTTGATGTCTACCTGTGGACCTCCAAAGTCTAAAATCTCTCTTGTAAATAGTATGTAGTCCAGGAGGAAGTTTAAGTCTCCAATTTGTGCTTTCTCATCAGATACCCGATATGGCCTCATCATCAACACCTAAATATAATTCAAACTCCTTGGAGAGTTCCTCCAGTAAAAGGGTGAGTGTAACTTTTTTCATGTTTTTTACATCTGAGATCCCAGAGATCATTATCATCTATATTTGGGTAGAAAAATGACTATTTGAATTACTTTTTTTCTTGAATGTATATACTTACTTTTATTGCTAAAATTCTAATGCAGTTAACTGAGTTGATTTAAATATCTTTCAGAGTGGATGGGCGAAATATTCTCTGTATCATAAGTTATGAGAGCTTCCTTAAAATCAATTCTAATATACTTACACTTATCCTTGCTTTCTACATTGAAATATTCTGTGGCATTCTTGAAAGTTTTGGCATTTTGATGCTGTAGAAAGATTCTGTACTACAATTGATAAGTTATACCTAGTTATGTTTGGCTGGCTCAGTTCTAAAATGTTTCTCTCCAGTGGGAAATACATTAAAATTATCTGAGTGGCATTCCCCTCTGCTTTTTGATGTTGCATGGCTGAAGAAAATGTAACCTGTGTGCAAGAAAACAGAAACTAAAGTTTTATTTAGCTTTTTAAACATTTCTTCAAAAACAAAGATTATCTTCTATTAATCATTCTTAAAAATGACTGAACGTGGGAAAGCCACAAATGAGTAGGTTGTGTGTAGTAGTTGTTGAGTAGTTTGCTTAAGTGATTTCAGTTGTTCTTCCAAGCCTAGCGTACTTTGAAAATTAAATGCACAAAACTTTCAGAGAACTTAGAGTGTAGAAATTTAATTCCAATTTAGGGGAAATATAGTTAAGTGTTCTTTTAGAAGGAGAAAGACTAAAACAGGCTTATGTTTCAGATCTGTTCAACCTTTAAATGTTTAATAGTTGCAGTTTAGTATAGTAGTGTGTGTTCCTGTTTTGGTTCAGTCTGTCAATTTTTACTGTGGAAAAAACTATTCTTTCCCATGCAGAAATTACCTTTAAGAATTTAATCTGGAGCATGAAGGAATTGTAAATAAAATACGATGTGCTGTTGTACTTTGCTTTCTGTAGACTCTAAAAGATGGAACTAACTGGGAACAAAATGAAGAAATACCTCGTCTGCCAGGAGAGACTAGAGTGACAGGTATGAAGCTGTATAGCTGTCTAATGCAGTGTATGTTTAGCAGTCTGGCATATACATGTATCTTACTGGATTGTTTCATAATTTGGACTGGTTTGGGCTGGTGGCAGGGGTAAGTCATACTAAAATGCCATGAATTTTTTAAAGTAATTGCGATAGGGACTTTTTATCACTTATCACAAATAACTTCTTAATTCTTTAAAATGTTGGTTTCCACACGTGGCAGATCCTCCAGTACAAAGAAACTGCAAGTTGTCATTGTATCTACGGACTAAGTAGTAGGTGTCCAGTGATGAGAGCCCCTGCAAGCTTTCCGAAGTCAAGAGAACTCTACATGCCACCCACTATGTACTGATAGCGTGTACAGTAGTGTAGAACCTTAGCCCAAACGGTGACTACCCTAAGTACAGTCATATGCTTCCTTGATGGAACATGGCATGCACATGGCTACTATGCGCTTGTTAGCCTCTACAAACAGTAATGTTGTAGCATAAGGGAGATTAATGTATTGTGTACAGTGATTTCTTACTTGATGGAGTCTCTTCCTGGAATGGAGTCTTCCAATCATGGAATTTTGCGTTGAGGTATCAGAATACAACTGAAAGTGCTCTGTCTTTTATTTGTGAAGCTTCTCCTTCCTCTGGCCCGAGCATTTGTTAGGTGGGTTTGTAAACAAGATTGGCTGAGGTGAAACCAAAAATGGTGCTTCAGAGGAAGTAGTTATGTTTTTAATAAGGAAAGTTGTAGGGAGGGCATGAGGGAGAGGGTGTGGGACTAAGATGAATGTTTGGTGTGATCCCTATGACAATCGTCTGTGCTTTGGGGCAGTACGATGGAAGGAGAGTGCTTGTTGTAGAAGGCAGATAAATAGACTGGGCTAAAGAAATGAGTGGACAGGGAGAAAGAGGTATTTGTAGTGCTTCACATAAGTCTTCAATGGCATTGCTTCAGTTAAATCTTTCTTTTTTGAGTAGTATGTGTTAGTACTCATTTTGTTACTGTCCTTGCTGAAACAATACTGATGGCCCTGCTATATTTGATTGCCTCAAATTGAAATGTAATATTTCTCTTCAGGATGGTGAGTTCCTGTCGTGGTTTAACCCCAGCCAGCAACTAAGCACCACGCAGCCACTCACTCACTCCCCCCCATCCAGTGGGATGGGGGAGAAAATCAGGAAAAGAAGTAAAACTCCTGGGCTGAGATAAGAATGATTTAATAGAACACAAAAAGAAGAAACTAATAATGATAATGATAACACTAATACAATGACAACAGTAGTAATAAAAGCATTGAAATGTACAAATGATGCGCAGGGCAATTGCTCACCTCCCGCCGACCGACACCCAGCCAGTCCCCCAAGCGGCGAATCCCTCCCGCCCCCACTTCCCAGTTCCTAAACTAGATGGGACGTCACATGGTATGGAATACACTGTTGGCCAGTTTGGGTCAGGTGCCCTGGCTGGGCATGAGAAGCTGAAAAATCCTTGACTGTAGTCTAAACACTACTGAGCAACAACTGAAAACATCAGTATTATCAACATTCTTCACATACTGAACTCAAAACATAGCACTGTACCAGCTACTAGGAAGACGGTTAACTACATCCCAGCTGAAACCAGGACAGTTCCCTAAACACTTTACAACTTGAACTACGTACTTCAATGCAGAATTGGTTACAGAGCACTGAAAGATGTAATAGTATCAACAGAAGAATGTGTTTGTGCTGGGATAGGTAATAGACTGGTTCAGTAATCGCAGAGAGGGCTTAAATCTACTTGCTGTTCTATGTCCTGCCCTCTCCCACGTAGTGCCAAGAAAGAGAAGAACACAGATGTAACTAGGGAAGGCTACTGAAATCTGCTGATTTAATTTAGACAAGTTTAGTGTATGAAACTTCCACATTTTCTTAATAATTCAAGTGGACAAAATTCAGATTTATTACTTTTTAAATTCATTCATCTCTCAGAGTGGCTGAGTGCAGCACTCTTTATTTTACTGCTACTTAACTGATGCTGTCCATAGCTCTGATTTTTTTCTTTTAGCAATCTTTAAGAAATGCTGCATTTCTTACAGACAAGGATGTTATTTATATGTGTCCATTTAATGGCCCCGTTAAAGGAAGAGTGTACATCACAAACTACAGGCTGTACCTAAGAAGTGTGGAAAATGTGAGTAATATGCCACAATTACTTCCGTCAGATGATGAGTTGGCTTTAAACCCCCTTCCCTTCACCCCCACTGCCTTTGATTTATTTTGTGGCCAGTTCATTTGTTTTAGTTTTGGCACACGTATGCTTGTGGAATTGCATGGGAGGCTTTTTACTTGAAATGCTCTGTAATGTTTGTAATAACCATATCTTAATTGTGTAATGACTAAACAGTAATTGCCTTTGTGCCACTGAGAAATCTATCTAAAAATGGAAGTTCTTTAAAGTTAAATGTGTTGTAAAAGTGTGACTTTTGCCTGGTAAAATTACAGTTTAATCACTTACACTGAACTGATACCTTTATCTTTTATCCGTTGGAGTTTTTTTATAGCTGTTTCCTTTACACTTATTCTGTGATGGATCAAGGGCAGCGACTAATGATGTGCAATAGTTCTTAAAATGGCAATCAGTAAACCAAGATTTTGATTGTCCTTGCTGTTGGAAAAGAAAAATACTTTGATCAATAGAACCTTACATGGGTGGGGGGAGTAGTAGTGTGTTCAGTAAGCAGGAACATGAAAGAGAATAAAATGCACTTGTTATCTGTTTCATGATATTTTTTGTTTTAAAAACAAGGTTTTAGGACTGCTGAACTGACGTCTTTCTGGTTGCAGCTAATTCTACTAGTAATCTCTCTTTCATTTTGTTCTACTTTATTCTGTATATCAATAAAGCAGTCTTAGCAAGCAGAAGGCATCTTTTAGGGTGTTGCCACCTTTTTTCCCTGCATACTGTATTAGGCATGAAGTGTTTTTGTTGCATGTTAAATTGGATGATGTTCAAGGCTGTAGAGTGACTGTACAGCCTTCATAACATGTTGGGAGGGGAGACTCAATCAAACACAGAAACACACTTTTGCTTCCTGTATGTATTTCACGTCTGCTTTCTATTCTAGAATGCATAAGAACATTTTGCTTGAGTCTTCAGTTTAATCTTTTCCTTACTTAAACTTTCCTTGCAGGACCCAGTTCTGGTATTGAATGTTCCATTGGGCGTAATTTCAAGGATTGAAAAAATGGGAGGAGCTTCAAGCAGAGGAGAGAACTCTTATGGATTAGATATAACCTGTAAAGTAAGACTTTCCAATAATTCAACAGGAAATGAAGTCTAGAGGTTCCTTTTCTCACTGCTTACCTATTTATAGGAATGAAAAAACATATGTTCCTCAGAGCTGAGTTTAAAAAGAGCTTTTTGGAACTGGACAGGGAAATACATTTTGTATAAAGGGCTATTTAACTGTCCTCTCTGCATGTGAGGAGAGGGATTGGTCTTCCTTTCCAAATCACTAATTGACAAGAGGTTTTGCACAGTAGTCTTGTTTTAGGGCATTATTCCTGCATTGCTTCATTATTTCATTTGCTCTAAAAGTAATTTTTTTATAATCCTAAAATCTTCAAAGAACACCTCAAATGGGGGTTTTGTAAGCTGTAAAGGCAATGAAAAGCTTATGTAACAGCTATCTCTGTTTTCTTAGTCTCACAAAAAAATTATGTTGCCGTAAAAAAATATGGTCCTAGGGGAGTTCCCAGAGGATAATTCAGGATACTTTGACTCATTAATGGAGTATGTATACACATTTGATTCTTAGTAGTTAATGCGCATATTGCTTATTTTTGATGTTAGTGATGAGAAAATAGCTAGGGACAATGTACTCTAGACAGATTATTGGCAAATTTTCATTTTGAAAACAGAGAGTAACTCCCATCCTGCAAACATTCAGTAGCCCATGAGACTTTTTAGTGAATCAGATACAGTCATTTCTGATGGCTTTATGCCAAAGCAGCGTTTGCACTACACAGAGTGTGGTACTGCTTTATTTGTAGAGTTCTTATGCTCTTTTCTATTTTATGGACAAGAAATAAAACTGAACATTCACAGTGGTTTGAGGTGCATTGCAAGCAGATTCTAAATCATGTTTAGTGTATAATATAGCGTTTGTATGTCAGATAAAAGTATCTTACTGCTTTGGCTCACTTAAAAGATAATGCCTTTGTTTTAGGATATGAGAAATTTACGGTTTGCATTAAAACAAGAAGGGCACAGTAGAAGAGATATATTTGAAGTTCTTACAAAATATGCTTTTCCCCAGTCACATAACTTGGTAAGTTATATCATTTATGCTATTGAGTTGTCTTAATACAGAGTTCTTGCCAATTAACTTTAACTGTTTGACCTACTAATGGACATCATGGCTGCTTAAAAAGAATAACCACAGAATCTGGTGTCAGCATAAACTAAAGAGAATTAATGTTTTTATTTTGTACATTTACAACACTTACATCTATGTATTTGTGAAATTATGGATGCTATGTGCTAAACTTCAGGTAGACTACTGAGCATCTCTGATCCATAGAGATTTCATTGCTTAGAGACTGCAGGTTATCCTCCCTAATTAGGAACTGTAGTACTACATGCCTTACTTGATTTCTTGAAAATGTTAAACTATTGGACAGTCTCCAAGGCAGTGATAAATATGAATCACCAAGAGCTTTACTTTAGGAAAAGAAGACATGTTAAGACAACACTTGTTTTACTGATGAAAAATATAACAGGCAGCTAATACAGTAATGAATTTACACAGATTTATTTCAGGTAAAAAAAAAAATCCATCTTATGGAAGGAATTGAGCGACAATGATGTTAACTAACCATTATCTTCCTTTTTTTTTTACCAAAATCTGTGTCCTGTGCTTTGGTGTGGATCATTTTGACCTCTCTTTAGTAAATGCTTTATTTTGTCTTTTGTAAAATTCAGTTTACATTTTATTGGGGTGCTTTCATTTAGGATAATTTTATAAGAGCTCTCTTCACAAAATGTTGGAGGGTTCTGCTGTGAATTTTTAAGAACTTTGTCCAGAGAATTGTTGAGTATATGAGGCTGCAGCAAGAATCTTATTTCCTTCTCCAAAGATACGTGTCAATCAATGGGCTATACTCTATAAACATTTAGTTCTTTAAAATTTTTTTGCAGAAATTTTGCATTCTGTATGCAAACAGTCTGTGGAATGAAAGCATAAGGAAAAATAAAAGCTTTTGCTTAGAATATTTTGTAGTGTTGATGAATAGGTCTTAAGAGATAAAACTGAACTAAACATAATTGTTAGGTGTGAGGAGTTGTACTTGCTGAGAAAACTGTTGTAGAAGAAGTGAATATATCTATACTGCTGGCATTTTATGCATCTTATAATAGAGAATGGATATGTGGATTTCAAAAGGATGATGGAAAAGAGAGAGAAAGCTGCATGTAGAAATACCAATTTACAGAGAGTTTAGGTCAAAAGGGGCTTCTGGACATCATCCGGTCCAGGCTTCTGCTGCAGGTAGGGCCTGAGATTAGGTTATCCAGGGCACAGTCAAGCCTAGTCTTGAGTATTTCCTGCAAGATATAGTCCATCATGTCTCTGGGCAATCTCATCCAATATTTAATCGTTCTCGTGGTGAAGATGTTTTGTTTTTTGTTCCCCCCCCCCGACATTGAGGACCTGCGTGGATTTGCATGTAGTGAATGTGGACAAATTAAGTTGTAACTGACTTAGGAGAGTTCCTTGTGGGATTTTTTTTTTTTTATGGTGTCCAATCCAACTATAGGGCTTGAATAACATGGTGGTGAGATGTGGACTTTTATTAGGTTTTGTCATCCAAATAGACCCAGTGTTCCTGTCTAGTGATGGTAGTGAGTAATGTGTGGAGTAGTACACTTTCTGCTTTATTTATTGCACCTGTTGAACCTAGTAAAGCTCATCATTACATTGCCTGGCCCATTTTGAATGTAACTTGCCAATAAAAGTTATGCTCAATAACAAAAGGCTTGGTCAAGGCAGAGGTAATTTTGCCTCTGGATTCAGTAAAGCACAAAACTTGAAGATAGTGACAATATGGAGAACGGTTGTAGGTATATCTGGAGCAGGGTATATAACCATTAGAAACTATGATTACTTTGGAGTGAAATAAAGTGAGCCTATGTGTGATGGGTTAACCCTGGCTGGACGCCAGGTGCCCACCAAAGCCGGTCTATCACTCCCCCTCCTCAGCTGGACAGGGGAGAGAAAATATAACAAAGAGCTTGTGGGTCGAGATAAGGACAGGAGAGATCACTCACCAATTACCGTCACGGGCAAAACAGACTCAGCTTGGGGAAAATTAACTCAATTTATTACAAATCAACCAGAGTAGGGTAATGAGAAATAAACCCAAATCTCAGAACACCTTCCCTCCACCCCTCCCTTCTTCCCGGGCACAACTTCACTCCCGGATTCTCTACCAACCCCCGCAGCGGCACAGGGGGATGGGGATGGGGTTTACGGTCAGTTCATCACACGTTATTTTCTGCCGCTTCATCCTCCTCAGGGGGAGGACTCATCACACTCTTCCTCTGCTCCAGCGTGGGGTCCCTCCCACAGGAGACAGTCCTCCATGAACTTCTCCAATGTGAGTCCTTCCCACGGGCTGCAGTTCTTCACAAACTGCTGCAGCGTGGGTCCCTTCCACGGTGTGCAGTCCTTCAGGAGCACACTGCTCCAGCGTAGGGTCACAAGTCCTGCCAGAACCTTGCCAGAACCTGCCAGTCCTGTCCCAACTTTTTTCCCTTCTTAAAAATGTTATGACAGAGGCGTTACCACTATCGCTGATTGGCTCGGCCTTGGCTGGCAGCGGGTCCGTCTTAGAGCCGGCTGGTATAGGCTCTCTCTCGAACACAGGGGAAGCTTCCAGCAGCTTCTTAACAGAAGCCCCCCCTGTAACCCCCCCCCCGCCCCTACCAAAACATTGCCACACAAAGCCAATACACTATGTTATATCGTGAAGTTGCACCTGTCCTTATTTTCTAATGTCACAATGTGGATGAGCTCTTCGCTTTAAAATGAGCTAAGCAGGTGTGTGATATTTTTGGTGTACTTTCACTGTATTTCAGCAAGCAGTTTAAATTGATCCTGCCAAAGGTGGGCATTTCTTCCTGGTGGTTCATTCCTGCCTTGGTTTTCCCTGCATGAGTTTGAGGCTGCATGATGAACCAAATAGGGAACTGAAAGGGACTAAAGCTAAACAAGGAGGAAAAAAAATAAAAGCTTTACCCTGAGTCATTTCCTCAGTCTTGTTAGCCCAATGTGAGAATGGAGTCGGGGCATCTATGGGTGGATGTGAATTAAGAGGAATGAGGGGACTGCCTCTTTCAGTGGCTGGTTTAGAACAAAGTTTCACTGTCTGAATATGACAGTATGTCTGGGCTGTGCATGCCTGCCTTCTCCTTTGAACGTACACTAACACTCTGACCATGCAGCCAGCTCAATCAGGGAGATCTTTTATAAAGAACGTGCTGTGGCTTCACGTGACAGCTGGGTGAAGATGGTAGCCCTCTGTTACTCAAATGCTGAGTTCTTGCTTTTCTCTGGTCTCCTTCTCTCTACCTTCCAGCCATTGATTATTCCACTTATACCAAACTGACACTTTTATAATCGCTAAGTAAGCCAATGTAGCTCACTTATCCAGCCCAAAATATTCTGTTTTCTGAGTTAGTCTTGTGTCACTTCTAATAATTCAAGGAGACCTGATTTGAAATCGGTATGCACCAGAACCAGTGCAAAGAGAGGGCATGTGAGTGGAACAGGGAGCAGGCAGGAGACAAAAGAGAGGGATGACCTATTTTTAGCAGGTTAAACTGGTAATTTTGCTCAGACCACCTTGTGGAACTGCATCCCTGATCTTCAGCTGGTTCAGCAGCACTGATGCTTGTGCAGCTCTGCACTGGAAAGAAGGCATCATCAGGACAATAAAGGTCTAAAGCTTTACTGTCCTGATTTTTATCTGTATTTTTACATTTTATGTCAGACTTTTATCTGACTGATTTTTATCTGTAGTGGAACCATATCCCTAGAGCTGATCCTAAACGAGAACTTTTAGAGATGCCTTGCTTCTGTTTTCTTCATGCTATACCATTCTCGGACAAATGGATGGTAAATACGGCCCAAAACATTATTTCTGAGTGCAGTGTACTTAATTGTTTTCAAGATTTTTCTCCATCACCATCCCAACAGCAGTGTATGAGAGCTATAATAAATCACAGGTCTGTTTGCAACTGTTTGTCAGTGTCTCAACATTGTCCTGTGTGCTTACTTGCAGAAGCTAATTCTTGTCTCTCTCCAGTTTGAGCATAGGTTGGGTTCAGAGCTCTTTGAATCAATAACATAACATAAAATCTGATAGCTCATCTGACTGACAGCTTAGTTGATATGGAAAAAACAGCTGCTATCCATATTCCTCTGTTGCGTTTGCAAACTTGTGCTAATTGAAAAAAAATAGTTGCTGAAAGTGTTTTTTAAAGAGTTAAAAAAAAATAAAAAAAAAACAAACACAAAAAGCCAAAAACCCCAACCCCCCAAAATTAAGTGTTTGTAGTACTCCACAGAAGGTGAGATATATTTAGTCTCTGTAGTTTAGTTTCTGCATAGCAGCTGCTTCACTTCCTGATCTTATCTTGAAACTACACATCATCATTTTTATAAGATTATTTGCCACCATAATACCTGCATAATACATCTTTATTTCTAAACATGATAGCTCTGTGGGGATGACAGTTTTGACGAGAGACACTGTCAGTCATGCTGTCTGACTGACTTCTTCCACTCCCAATGTAGCTAGTTATCCTGGTAATTTAAAATGTCTGAGAGTCAGATCATGCCAATTTTGCTGTTGGACCTACAAAGATGATTTTAGATGGCAGTGAGGTCTGGCATAGGAACCTATCTGATGGAGCACTTGGTTTTGCAAAAAACATCTTGACTTGAGGCTTCATTCTGAATGACTTATGTCAGTCTCAGTGCAATAAAGGTGTAAGGTCACTGTATCGGGAAATGATCAGAAATTAATTATGTAAATACTACAATGCTGATATTAGTTTTTAGATGAATGGGTAAGGCGTAACTGGCTGAACTGTAGTAATGGCATATTAAAAGCAAGGATAGCGATATCTTTGTTTTTAAATACACTGAGAAACTGACAGCCTTTTAACTGAGTAAAAGCTTAGTAATTTATAATATATGAAAAGCATAAGTCAGTAAGTTAGAAACAGAAACAACAATTTACTTTCTCTGCATGTCTGTAACACCTT